TAACAAACTGACATGAAAGACAGGGTGAATCCTTCTAAGCGTCTTTGGCAATTGTAATTGCACTGCAACCGGATTCACAATTCATACAATTGGGAAAAGTTCCACATATTTAGGTCCCAATTTTTTAGGTTTCTGGGTTGTTCGTAAATACTTAGTGGACAAGAAGACTTTATCACCCACTTGGTATGGTTTTTGTGGAGCACTCTTTTTGTCTGCTTGTTTTTTATGAGTTTGATGAGCATCATCTAATGCTTTACAGGTAACCGGCTAGGTAAACTGGAGTTGGGTTATCCACTCTGTCAATGATGTAACATTGGGTTTCTCTTGTGGTAGCTCTGGGATGGGTACGAAGTCTTGACACATAGCTACCCATAGCTGGAGTACAAAGGACAAAGGTATTTTGCATTTTAACTTCCTAGAGGCTGGTGGGAGGAGCTGCTGGCTGTTTGTGTGCCCCCATTTGTTTATGTGAGCTTTGGCTGTCACATTGTCTGTCACATGTGCTGACCGCGTACCTGGGGGAGGAAGTTGCGAAGGGCCAGGTGTACTGCACGAAGTTCCAGCCAGTTTATGCTGCACGACTGTTCTATGTCGGACCATCTGCCTTGGGTTGTGAGCGACTGGACGTGAGCTCCCCATCCAAACAGACTGGCATCTGTGGTGATGGTGAGCCTTTGTGGCTCTTTGAAGAGACAGGCTCTGTTGATGACCGGTTTGGACCACCAGAGGAGAGACATGAGGACCTTGGGTGGGACCCTGACTTTGTGTTTGGAGTTGCTTCGGCCGGATCTCTGGTACGGTAGCAGGAACCACTGGAGGGATCTAGTGTGGAGGCGGGCCCAAGGGATAATAGAAATACATGATATCATTTTGCCCAACAATTTTGATAGATCCAATAAGGACACCCTCTTAAACGACCTGATCTCCTTAACTAATTTTTGAATGCTATTTAGTCTATCTGGTGACAGATAAACCTTGCCTTCTACCGTATCTATAACGGCCCCTGAATGAATTATCCAAGTCGATGGTGTTAATTGACTCTTCTTCCAATTTATTAGAAAGCCATGCTCTTGTAGGGATATTAATGTGGTCTGAGTGTCTATAACTGCTTGATGGGCGGAAGGAGATAAAATCAAAATGTCATCCAGATAACACTGGAGGCGAATAGGGATGTTCCTGAGATGGGCAGCTAGCGCTGCGAGGACCTTGGTGAAGGTCCTGGGGGCAGAGGCTAATCCAAATGGAAGGGCCACCTATTCAAAATGGTGATTATTGTAGCAGAATCTCAGAAACTTATAATGGGAAGGCCGAATAGCAATATGCAAGTACGCCTCCGTCAAGTCTATGGACGTAAGCACGTCCCCCTGTCTGATGCCCAGTAATATTGATTGGAGGGTATGCATTTTAAATTTGCGATATACCAGAAAACAGTTGAGACGTTTCAAATCTAATATCGCTCTCCACCCCCCGAATTTTTTGGCACAACGAAAAGATGTGAATAAAAACCTTGCCCCCGTTGCTTGGTAGCTATTGGTTGGATGGCTCTTATGTCCAGAAGATGTTGGATAGCGGAATCCATGAGATTACGTTTAACCGGATCTCTGGAAAGAGGCCATGACATGAAGAAATCTGGGGGAGTGGATTGAAACTCCAGAGCAAGGCCAAATCTAACCGTGTCTCTGACCCAAGAGTCAGAGGTAGAGGAGTCCCATTGGTCCGCGAATAATTTAAGGCATCCGCCAATGGGAAATGGGTCCTGTGAGTTATCTTGGTCGCCGGAAGGGCCTGTTTCCTGCTCCCCGAAAAGCCCTTTTGGGTTGACCACCCCTTCTACTCCTGTCCACTGAGTCGGACCTATCAGGTTGCTGTCCTGGTCTGAATGATGGGGGTCTCTGGTATCTGGGAGAGAAGGATCCCTGATAAAAAGGTCGAGAGGATCCCCTCCGAAAGGACTGGGGATTTCTGGGATCTGATCTTCGAAAAAGGGATGGGGAGGATTTTCTTCTTGCTGCGGGTTTCAATTAGTAATGGATCTAGGGAAGGGCCAAACAGTCTGTCTCCCACAATGGGGGAGGAAGCCAGCTTGGGTTTGAGTTTAAAGTCTGCTTGCCAGTGTCTTAGCCATAGCAAGCGACACGCTGTGACATGAGATGTGATGGCCCTCGCTGAAAACTTGACTGCGTGGTAGGTGGCATCAGCTGAGAATTCAGCAGCAGCAGCGAGTTTGGCGATATCTTGGTGCGCCCTAATGTTGGAAGTAGGGACGTGTTGCTTCAAAAGGCGAAGCCATCTAAGAGATGACCGCGTGAAGGAGGCGGCCGTAGCTGATCTGATAGCCCATGCGTCAGATTGATGCGCTCTGCACAGGGCTAGCTCGGCCCGTTTTTCCTCCGGCTTTAAAACCTCCAGCGCGTCACTGGGAATAGAGGACGCTAAACCCACTATCGGTTCGTCTACCTCGGGGGTACTTAGTAGTTTTGAAAAATCAGGGTCCAGGTTGAAATACTTCCTATCATAGCCAGTTGGGGATGTGTACACCGCTGCAGAGGCCCACTGCACCAGGTCGGAAAACATGGCTGGAACTGGGATCACCTCTGCCTCAACAACCGGTTGGTTGAAGATCAGGTCCTCTGGCCCCTCCCCTGAGGGGATAGGTGTGTCAGAGGGTGATTGTTTGCTTAGGCATGCGATGTTCTTTGCCTTAAGCAATAGGGATTTGAAGAGCTGTGGCCGGAATAAGCCCGTAAAAACGGGCTGGTCAGGAATAAGCCCTTCATCCTCAGACATTTCCCCCTCTAAGGGGTCTGGCTCTGACAGGGGCTCGCTATCCTGCATTGACCCCAATTCGGACTCGTCTGCTTGCATGATTTGATCCACTTCCTCCTCCTCCTCCTGCCGTTGGAGGGGGGTCTCCCCCTGAAAATATACCTGGGTCTGGTGCTGGTCCGACCTGGGCAAGGACCTCAGTGATTGTGACTCTTGGTCAGCGACCGCAGGGTAATGTCTGGGCATGACTGCTTGTTGAAGCCCCGCTGCGATCCCCTGGCGGATAGCCAGCTCCATCCAGGCTATCCTTTCTGGGACCTCCTCAATGAGAGTATCACCCTGACGGAGACCAGCGGCTGTTGGAGTGAAAGTGGCTTCTGGAGCCCTTCTGGCCGGTGTCCCAGGAACTTGGACCTGTTGTCCTTGGGGGGGCAAGCTGCGCCTGGATGAGAGGGAGAGATCTAGGGGGGGAGGAGGGGGGGAGGAAGAAGACGGACTGGAAGATGGGAAGCCCTGAGGCACAGTGTGCGCTTCCCTAGTGCGCTTGTCTATTTCCTTTTGTAAGGCCTTATGGAGCCTTAAAGCGTCCCTTTCTGAGGCTTTAGAAGTCTCTTTAGCCTGCTTGCGTTTATGGTGAGTTTTGGCTTTTGCCTTCAAGGAAGGGGCCTGAGAGGTGTTACCATTTGCCATTTTGATTAAATTAGGATTGCAGCAGTTTGGATATAAGATATGGATAAGGCGGTTGGCACGCCCAGGGTCCGATCTGAGTCAAGAACGGTTGCCCCGATAAAGTACTTATTACCCCCCCCCCTTTTTTTACTGGTGGTTTTCTCCCGCGTAAGATTGGAAGTATCTAGGCAACAGTCTGAGAAGCACAGAGCTGAAGACACAAGCCTGAAGATGATGAATGAGACTTCATCGAAATGTTGCCTAGATACTTCCAATCTTACGCGGGAGAAAACCCGAATAACCAAAGATAGATAGATAGATGTTATAGATATAGATATAATGAGTCATATCTCAGTAATATTTTATTGAAATTAAAATATTATACTGTCAAACAATATATTATTATTGATGATTATTATACTTGTAATAATTATTATAACATTGTTACTACAGTTGTGTTTATTATTGCTCCTATGAGCAGAAATATATATGTTTCAATATTACTGAAAGGAGGAATATTGAAAGAACAACCAAGAGCAATCTATAGACCAATTAAGCCAAATTTCGAACGCCTAAGGCCCAGGTAGAATAGTATAAGGGCCTTCAGCAGCTTCCCTGCACAGGCGGGCACAGGCCTGGGTGCTTGCTGCTGCGCCGCTGAGGATTAAGCTGTGAGCCAACAATCCTTAAATTGGAGTAAATAACCTCGAGTGCAATATAGCCAAAACGAGGTTAAAATCACTCTCAGAATCCAGGAGGGATCCTGCTGCTTCGAGTAGAAATACCTCACACAGCTCAGGGAAGGAAAAGAAATAGGCGCGCAGCCACGAGGTGGCACTCAAAATGGCGTCCGCCAGCTAAGGTTTCTTCGCGCGCTTCTCAGCGGCCGCTTCCCGCCTTGCCACGAAGCCGGAGTTCGCAATTTAAAGAAACGGCGGAAAAAGGGGGAATTTAACTCTAATCAGCTTCCCCACTGAAGGAACGGCGTTTGGAGAGGGGGGGGGGTAAGGCGATACGACTCGGCTGCGGTTTAAAACGACGAAAATCAAGCCGCTAGCATGGAAAACGGAACGAAAGGCACAGCGGCAACCAAAGTGGCAGAGGTAAGGTGAGAGCCTTCGGTGTCAGGAGCATTCTGGTCTCAAAGGCGTGAT